TATAATGCATTTTAATTCCTTTTTTTTTCTTTTCATTTTCAGCTTATGGAAAAGTATTTCTAGTGCGTAAAATAAGCGGCCACGATGCTGGAAAGCTGTATGCCATGAAAGTTTTGAAAAAGGCAACCATCGTTCAGAAGGCCAAAACGACAGAGCACACGAGGACAGAACGGCAAGTCCTGGAGCACATCAGGCAGTCGCCATTCTTGGTGACTCTGCACTATGCTTTCCAGACAGAAACCAAGCTTCATCTCATTTTAGGTAAGTGTCAGCTGTCACACTTCTCATGAGAACGTTCTCCTCAGGCCTCGAGTTAGAACCTGCAGAAAGGGCAGCACTTCAGACTTAGAAGAAATGATGTGTGTTCACTGTCGCTCTTCTTTTGGGGGACATTTCTTGAACATCACAGGTGACTCTGGATTTGAGACTTCCCAATGGGAAGAAGTTTAGATGCTTAAAGCCCACGTTGCGTTGTAATCTTAAGAAATAGTAGTGTCGTTAGGAGGAGCCATCCTGGCCAGTGTGCTTCTGTTCCCTTCAAGAAGCTGAGTTGCAAAGTGGGCCTTGATTTCAGCCCTAGATTGGGGCTGTCAGGAGGACACTTATGGAACAATAATAGGAAAGAAATTTTAAAAAGAAAGGGAGAACTTCTGTTCCTAGAGATGCTTTGCATTTCCTAGTGGAAAGCCTGCAGATAAAGGGAGCAGCCACCCACCTGCCATGCCCACTTCCCACCGGCACTTTCTGAGTCTTCCTTTCCCAGCTGGACCTTTGTTGATGATCTTTGGAAAAGTCCTCAGCACATGTTGCCAGGCTGCTCTGCAGAAAAGCTGCACTGTTTTCTGTTCCTATTAAAAGCAAAAAGGAAATACGGTAGTGCTTCTAGCGTTGTGCTTTGCCATCATTGACTATTACCACTTGGTCCTCTGATGTGTTCACATCCTCCTAGAACTGTGGTGAGGTTGGAATTTCACATAGTCTCTTTCTCTAGAAACTTTAGCTATTTCTTGAGTGTCTATTGGATGTCTACTGTAACAGGAATTGTTCATGGTGCCAGTGACCCTCACAACACCACAGAATCCCCTCAGTATGCACATCAGAGTTCTAGAAGGTGCATTCCCTGAAGTTACATATTTTGTGTAAGGTTGAAAATTAAGGTTGGGACTCAGACCTGACTCCTTCCAAAGTCTTGGCCAAATGGTACAGTCTCTGTTCTTCTATTATTAGTGGTTGCAAACAGGGTTTTATATAAATTTAGCAATTATATTAAATGTTCTCATTTTGGAAAGTATACTTTTATTGATGATGCCTAAATTTGCATTCGCTTTTTCAGCCATGAAAAAGCTCCCTGTGGAATGCTTACCATCAACTAACAACCCTGAATCTTCTCTATGCACAGTCTCTCCTGTCCTGTCTCCGTCCCTGTTAATGTTACACCTGCCTATTGTTCCAGTGAGTCAACACACGGCCCTTGGCCTGCCTTGTGTGTATATCTATACTGTATGTTATTGACTGATTTTTTTGTTATGTGTTTTTTTAGTGTCAGTAACAGTATTGTAAGGGATAGAACATTTTAATACAGTAGCTTTAAATATTTTTCACAGTGAAAAACACAGAATGAAAACAGATATTCACATGGAAAATAAATAGAAATAAATACCTGTACTTGAATTTGGGCCTGAGTTTATTTGAGTTCTTCACCCAAGGAAGGCTTAGGAGGTCACTGAGGGCTGTTTAAGAAATGACTGTCTCATTTGAGCTTCCCTCTTTAAATCATATGAAGGTCACATGAGCCAGGAGCTGTAAGCCCAGGAGCTGTGACCCTGCCCTGCGGCTGCACCCCAGTCTGCCTCTCGCCCTCCTCCTTCCTCTCTTTTGCCTTTCCTCTCTCCCTTCTTATTTTATTCTGGTATGGTAACTGTACTCAGCATGTTTTTTATTATGTATTCTGAATAGTGTTGTTTTTGTAAATCATGTTTTTAATTTAAAGGGAGAGGAAATACTTTGTATCTGATTAAGAAGCAATAGTCCTTAATCATTTTGCTTTTTAGCTGTTAGCTTTTCATTATTTTTGCTCTTTGTCAGTGACCCATAAAGAAACAGATATAAAACAAAACAAGGAGACCTGTTTCTGTGCCGCTCAAGAGTGGAATACGGACTAGGTGATGTATTTGTTCCCTAACCTGGCAGTGCATTAGAAAGCAGGCCCTGTCCTGATAGATTCACTTACCAGTTTCTTTTTGTACATGTTTAAAGTAGTTGTTCAATTTTAAAGATGAAAACCTTTCAGAAATTTAGAACAGAACTTTTAAAGACTATTTTTATGGTTTAGTAATTATTTGTAGTGCTCTGACACACATTAGGTCATTTTTTCAAGTATTCAGCTATAACACTTAATCTCTGACATAACAGAATGTCACAGATTGGGTGGCTTAGACAGCAGAGATTTATTTGCTCACAGTTCTGGAGGCTGATGTCCAGGATGGAGGTGTCAGCAGGGTTGGTGTCCTCTGAGGCCTGTTCCTTGTTTTGTAGAGGGCTGCTCCCTGCCGTCTCTTTACATGGCCATCTCTCTTGGCATGCATACCCCGGTGTCTCATTTTGGGTCCCAGTTTTCTCTTCCTGTGATGATGCCTCTTTGTAATAAGGTAAACTCTGGGTAATGAAAATATATATAGGCCTAGAGGCCTCTTTGTAACTTCATATCCAGTTACATCCTGAGGTACCGAGGATTTGGGGCTTCAGTAGAAGAGCGTTGGGGAGATACGTGTAGCCTGTTGTCTATTGATAACTGATATTATTGATCACTGACTTCATCCAGCTTCTTTGTGAGGTGATAGTAGGAAATTAGTAGTCTCTTCAGGGACCCTGCTGACCTTTGTCTGATGACTAAATAAATATTATAGATCTTTTTTAAAAAAGAATGATATTTTAAAGAATATTCCTTTACTACAAAGATAATACATATATATCCGGAAGATATAGAAAAGAAAAAATAAGAATATAAAAATATATTTTCATTACCCAGAGTTTACCTTATTACAATAGTTCCTGACTTAAGATGGTTTGACTTGCCATTTTTCAACTTTAGGATGGTGTGAGAGCAGTATTCATCCAGTCAAATCTTATTCAGATTTTGAATTTTGATCTTTTCTTGGTCTAGTGATATGTGGTTCGATTCTCTCTCTTGATGCTAGGCAGTGGTCAATCTCATGATCACAGGGGTCACCAAGCCAGACTCTACAGCACACTGTGTTGCCAACTCAGGATGTTTCAAGCATTAGACATACTAATTGCATTTTCCACATAATGATAATTTTCCACATAATTTACTTTGGGTTTATTGGCACAGAACACTGTCATAACTTGAGCATCTGAGTATACGCCTTTGTTACTACTTAATGTATATCCTGGATATTTTTGTCTGTGTACCTTTGTGCATATATGGTTTATCAAAATGAGAATTTGTAACTAGTTTTTTTAATTTATAACTAATTTTTTTCAGTTAATGATGTCTACCTTTTGCAGCAAATAAATTTTCATCTCCTTCAATTCCCAGTTATAAAACATTATTTATGGTGGTATAACGAATCACCTAAAATTTAGTTGCTCAGTGATTTATTTCTCATGATTCTGTGGCTTGGCTGGACAGGGTGGCCCTGGCTGGTTTGGTCTGGGCCCACTCAGGTAGTGATCAGAGTCAGCTGGGCTGCACGGGCTACAATGCCTTTATGTTCATGCCTGGCCGTTGGTGGTGGCTGTTGGCTGAGTCACCTCACCTCTCCTCATGGCCCCTCACCCTCCAGGACCGTAGAGCAGCTTCCTCACAGCCTGGCAGTCTGAGGGCAGCCATGAAGACTGCCAAGAGGGCAAAGGTGGAGGCTGCAAGACTTCCCGAGGCCAAGTCCTGGAGCTCACACAGCCTCCCTGCCAGCACCACCCGCCTAGGTCCACATCTTGATGAGGGGAACTGCAAAGAATCTGTGGTCATCTGCCACCAAGTCCACATTCTGACTTCACTAATGGTCACAGAATTGCCCTTTACTATTGTTTTTTTGTTTGATTGGTTGGTTGGTTGGTTTGGTTTGGTTTTTTGAGATGGGGTCTCACTGATTTTGCCCAGACTGGCCTCAAATTCGTGGGCTCTCGTGACCCTCCCACCTCATCCTCTCAAGTGCTGGAGCTACAGGTGCATGTTTGTGTAATCCAGCGATATTTACTTGGTTGTGTCCTTGTAGTGTCTTCTAGCTTATTCTAGCTTCTGCTGAATTCTAATAATTGGGAAGTTATGTTTTGCATGGAGGTCTTTAATCCAGATGGATTTTTTTTTCTTTGTGCAACATGAATTAAGGATTCAATTAAATCTTTTTAAAAAATAGCTGCTTAGTTTCCCTAACACTGTTGGGTAAAAAGCACTTCTGACTTCAGGGTGCTGCTGTTTTGATCTGTTTCTTGATTTTGAGTGCTATGTGGGTTGTTGAATTAAGTGTGGTACCATATACGGTATGCTTTAGTATCTGGTAAGGCTTGGCCTGTTCTTCATGTTGTCTTTCATTGTTATTTTTCAGAGCATGATGGAAGGCTCTTCCTGTTGGTTTGTTTGTTTGTTTGTTTGTTTATTTATTTATTTATTTATTTAGTTTTTTATTTTGAGATAACATCTAACTAAATTGCTTAGGGCCTCCCAAAGTTCCTGCTGGCCTTGAACTTGCAATCTTTCAGCCTCAGCCTCCTGAGTTGTTGGGATTACAGACGTGTGCCATCGCACCCAGCCTGTTCAGCGTGAACTTTAGAATCCAATGTATGGTTCTGGGAGGGAAAAAAAAATTGTTAGGGTGTTTTTATTGGGATTGCTTTAAGTTAAAAAATTAATTTACCGAGAATCGATATTTTTATGATGTTGTTCATTCCTCCTCAAGTATGTAGTATGTCTTCTCTTATTTAAAACTACTTCTGAGATCTTGAGGGGTATTTTAATGTTTTTTTTTCTTTTCCCCTTTTTTTTTTAATTTATTTTCGGATTTTTTTTTTTTGTTTTTTTAATTGGGTTTTTTCCCCTTTTTTTCGGTTGCTTTTTTAGTTTTTTGGTTTTATTTTTTTATTCTTGTTGCTTTCTTGGTTTTTCTCATCTTCCCACGGTGCTCGTGTCCTGCCCTATTCCCTCTCTGTCTGCCCCAAAGAGTACCATTTGGTGTATGTGGCCTTTTTTTTTCTTTTTCTTTTTTCTTTTCCACTTGGTTTTGCTGAAGGAGTAGGTCAGT